TTAAAATGTACTGTTTATATTATTTCAATTTTCAGTTTAATAATAAACTCTTGGCTATCGTCGGTTGTGCATTGATGGGTACTTGTTACGTACTTATTGGTCCTGCCCCTTTTATACCTCTTGATACGTGAGTGATATTTTTCAAAAAATTATTAATTTATAAACATAGAATAATTATTAAAATTTGATATTCAATATATAGATCTATTGCACTAGTGTGTGTTTCGCTGATGTTTTTCGGTCTCGGAACTGGAGGAAAATTAGTTAGTGCTTTCCTTGGTGTTTTGCATCATACAGTGTAAGCATAAGTTATAATAATTATCTACATTATAAATTTAAATACTACTGATGTTCATTAATCGAAAAACATCTATTTTAGAATAAATCGAGGATTTCCTACTGACGTTACGACTTATGGTTTGGTATCATCAATGGTTGCATCATCTCAATCTTTAGGGTAAATTTTATATTATTATTATTCATTACATTAAATATTAAGGCAAATAATACATATTCAGTATATTATAATAGATTAAATACTTTGTATTTTATCATTTCTATAAAGCATTATATTTATTTATTGCTTTTAAGTATTATTAATTAAACTTCCAGCATAATTAGTCTTTAACTTTCCAAAGAATCTTGGCATTTAACAAAAGTTAATTATTATTCGAGGTTCATTAAATACTGAAATGTATTTTAAAGAACTTTACTCGTTATAGTTAAAAATTAGCAATATAAATAAATACAATGCGTTAAAATTAGCGTTTTTCTTTAAAAATTGGAGACGACAAAGAAAATTCAGACGAAAAGGACTTTTTAATTTTGATTATTCATTTAAAATTATACAAACATCATAGAAATTTATATTTGTTTTAGGCTTCCCTAAGTGAATTTTCATTCAAGATATAAATTAAGAACTCACTGATTAAAAAATATAGAATTTAATGATTGAATATTTCTTATTTTTACGATAAAAATAAGAAATAACTAATAATAAAAGAACCATAATAGTAATAAATATTAAAATATTTTTAATAATTAATCAAAAATGTTAATGACAGATTAATTATTCACAAAATAATTACTCCATGCCAAGCTGAATTTAAGCTTACAGTTGTCCCTCTATAGTCCGACGTTTTTTAATCCGACATGCTCAGTAGTCCGACGCACCTCCCGTCAAGGTACCCGTCCCCGTTACGTGTCTGCTTGCACAGAAGCATGTCGCGATGTGAATCTCCCCATCCAATTTTTACACGATGACACACATTTCGTGTGTTTTATGTGAGCAGTTCTGTTGGAACAGTTGGAGTAGAGAATATTGTAAGTTACTGCTAGCAAAACAATGCGAAATATGTAATTATTTTCGGTAATCCGGACACTTTTGCTAATCTGACACACCTTTGGTCCCATACCTGTCGGATTATCAAGGGACAACTGTATTTCCAAATATTTTATAATTATATTTAAAATATTAATTGAAATTATTATTTAATTTAATATGAATGTTGTTAACTTTTCTTTGAAGCTTTTCGAATTAATAATAATAATAAGACTAGTCTTCAATGAATATTTTAACATTACTAAATTTTCACAAAATAAATATGGAATTTTGTATTAAGAATTCTTTCTTACAAACTTAGTATAGAAGCATTTTTAATGATTCTAAGTTTGTAAAATACTTAAAAACAAATTAATTTCATATATACAATTTAAGTCCAATTTACAATAGACTATCTCTTTATCTTTCTTCTTACTTAAAATAAAGCTTTGTATAATAATTTGATTTGAAGATGACAAACTAATTTTTTTTTAATTTCCTGTAATATTCTGTATTTCTTCTCATTAATTTAATTGCCTATAATAATTTCCTATTATTTTATTTTCTGTAAACACATGAAAATCTTCGAATTTTACTTTCAATGTATAAACAATTATTTACATTACACTAATTTTACAGCAAATCAGCAGTTAAGTAAATAAACTATTTTTAAAAACAGTTTATCTTGTATAGTTAGCTATTTAATTTTTGTTTTCTAGTAAATCGTATTAAATAGGCTACGTTGGACATGGGCAAAAAATAAAATGAATAAATAATAATAAAATATATAAAGACTAGATATAAAAATGAAACCAGAAGAGACTTTATATTGTATATTATAAAATAATATACAATATATTGATTTTTAAATATGTATTAATAAAAATCATAATCGGCATGTATTAATTATATAATTTTATATACATTATTATGTAACTAATTATAATAATTTTTAATTTAATTTCAGAGCTTTTATTGGCCCATCCCTTGGAGGTTATTTACTACAAACTGTTGGATATAAACCGGGAACACTGGTCCTTGTTGCTGTAGAAATTCTACTGGTAAAAACTTAATATTTTAAAAATAACTATATGTAAATAAATGTATAAAATATATTTCATTTAAAATTTAGAATAAAGTATTAATTCAAAATTATATTTTTTATTTCAGATAATAATTCTTTCATCAGTTTTATCATATCAAAAATGCAATAAACATAAAGAGGATGGTTCTGAGGAAGAAAAGAAATGTATAATTGAGAAAAATGGAGAACCATGAGATCTGTTTCTATTTATTTACTAAATTTATTATAGAAAAAACCGAATTTTTTTATTATGTATATAACTGTGATGTATTTTTGGAGTCTTCTGACATTCTCAAAATAATAAACTGATTTAAAGTGAAATATACTAAAATATAATACAATTATATTTTATGTAGGCCTTTTTTCTGATTTGTAATTTATTCATTTGTATAGAGTGTCCCTCCCTATTTAAATAGTATTGCATCTCCATTTTTTAATTATAGCTAACAATATTTATTTTGTGGATTCTGAAACTGTATACAATGGAAAGTATTAAAATGAATTATGACGGTGTAAAAAGTAATTCATTTATTTTTCAGTATAAAACGTACAGATTGATCCTCACTAATCTGGCAAACATAGGATCAGACAGATGCTGAAGTAGCGAATTTTCAGCACCAGTGGTACATTTTTGTGTTCTTTTTTATCTTAACGCATAAACAAAAAACATCTAAAAATTAGTTACTTATCTGTGATATTTTAAATAAATTAAGGCATTTATTTAAAATATCACAGATTTGGGATGTTGGAAAGTGTTAGCAACGTTTTAATTTTAAATAAACAGGAATAGTCCGAGGAAAGTTTTGACTAAATATGAAATTGATGAGAATTGCTTACAAACATGAAAGCCATGTATGATTTGTTTGCTGCAAACTTCAGAAATGGGAAAAAGCATGATGCATGATGTGGGTCTGAGATTTGATATAAAACGGCAAACATTTTAACATTTTTCTTATGTATATTCCATAAGAATTGCAACGCTGTTATCACGCTAAATTGGGAGTTGTTCTAAAAGTTATTTCATGTAGAGCTTTTATGTAGGTCTATAATATATGGAGTGTAGTGCCGGATTTAGGCATTTCGAGGCTCTAAGCTAAATTCTGTGAGGCACCTTACCAACCCTTTATAAAATACTTTGACTTCACACTAACCTACAGATACAATTGTAAATTAGACACGAAACTATTGTTTTTAAATAAATATTTCAAGTTTAAAACACTGAGAAGTACATAAAAATCTTACCATATATTTTATCATAAAATGGTAAGATTTATGGTAAGATGGACAAAGAAACGTAACTCATATAACAAATATTTAACACATATTTTCTTTTCACAACAAATGGCATTTAACTATATTGGAAATTTTCGTATTATTAAATAGTTGAAATTGTTAGTAGGTGAAGAGCAAGTTATAATATTATGATAATAATAATAAGTTTTAATAAAAATGATAAAATGTAAATTTAATTTTATCATAACGAGTTCTGGTCTTAATGTATCAATAGCCTATAAACCAAAGCACAGACAAAGAAAAAAAATCAAGATCCAAACAGAAAAATTTGATATTCTGGATATTTTTTTAGCAATTATAACCATTCAGTTAAAATGCATACAAAAGATACATTTAAAGTAACTTAAAAGACGAGTTAAAAAGCTGGAAAGTACTCTTGCTCGACTTTCTGGCACTGCACCTGAATAGAAGGTTAAGGAAATCAGAAAGTCCGATAACTACAAATTACCTAAGGTAGAAAGTTTAAATAATGACAAAAGGAGTAATTTTGTTAGATAGAGAAATTTTTATTAATTCAAGAGAGAATATTTAAAAATTAACCTTGTATGTGGCGCCATCTGTTACAAAGATCTGTTACAATAAACGAGTAGGTTTATTATAAATGAGCCTTATTTTGAAGGTAAGGGCGAATTTTTACGAAAATTGTAAATGCCAATGACCCCACTCGAAATATGACCTTGTACTATCTCTATCTACCCTTTCCCGTGACTTATAATCTCTAAAATTTAATAGCATCAATGCCCATATATAGAAATAATTCTGCCAAGTTTCAAAAGTTCTGGTTCATCCCGATATAATACGAAATAGATGTCACCCACATACATATATATAGTATATAAACTTATCCCACTTTTTTATGCTGTCTATTTTTACGCGATTTTGAAATAAGGCGATTGATGAAAGAAAATTAATCCTCTTTTCGCGCGATTGACTTTTTACAAGGAAAAAAAACAGTTTATTTAAAAAATTTTAAATTTAACTTTTTGTTAAAATTGTGTTATTATTTAAAAATTCTCTACGGGACTGCTGTATTATTTTTATGCAGTTTATTAACCGTGCATTCTTTAGGGAAGCAACTTCAAAATACTAAAGGGAATTCCCAATTTTTGGGGGGAGGAGCAGCAATTTGAAAAAAATTATAGACCTATAAATTCACACTGTCGTTCGTCTGTCCGTCTTTTCTTAATCTCGAGAACGGTAATAGATAAATGAAATTCAAGATCAGATATGAAAAGATTAGGGGCAGGAGAACCCGATTAACTATATATGAACTTTTGATGTACACCGGAGGCCACGTTACTTCAATTCGAAAATTTTCTCCTGAAAGGAATTAGATAGACGACTGGCATGACGGTATTGCTAAGGGAAAAATATGATGTATGGGGGCAAAACACTACAGTGCTAATTTGAGGTGGAGAGCATATATTTAAAATTAAATTAATTAATTAAAAAATTGCAGCCCGGCTTTGTGACGATGTCACAATAAGTTATTGTTTGTTATCTTTGGATTTCCCATTAAAAATAATCATCTTTTATTGAAAACGTTTTTTCAAAAAAGAAGAAAAGATAATTTCAAACATTACCAGCATGTATTCATACATTTTGAAAAACAACGCTCATAAAAATGCAACTTTTTAATAAGCTAGTGAATTTCTTTCCTTGTACTTTTTTCGGTTATTTAAAAAATGTTCAGGAAAAAAATTCNTATGATTAAAAATTACAGCCCGGCTTTGTGACGATGTCACAATAAGTTATTGTTTGTTATCTTTGGATTTCCCATTAAAAATAATCATCTTTTATTGAAAACGTTTTTTCAAAAAAGAAGAAAAGATAATTTCAAACATTACCAGCATGTATTCATACATTTTGAAAAACAACGCTCATAAAAATGCAACTTTTTAATAAGCTAGTGAATTTCTTTCCTTGTACTTTTTTCGGTTATTTAAAAAATGTTCAGGAAAAAAATTCTCAATAAAAATTTATTCTTTAATGGAGAATTCAAAAATACCACGTATATATAAATTGAGGATTTTATTTAAAATTTTCAAGTTGTCCTCCATTCCACCAGGAAGTGAAATGGGTGAGGCTTTATTTTTTCGGTACTAAAAACGCTCTTCGGAAATACAGTATTAAATTTTTCTTGTTACCAAGTTTTTATTAAAAGCATATTTTCCGAGCTATTGACTTGTAACACCTTAGGTGAAAACTCCTTGTATATATAACCAATTAATGTGATTTTTAAGTTCTTTACTTATTTATTATAATGTTTATAGTTGGTTTAGGTTAAAAGTGCCATTTATTACTATGTTATTGTCCTATCATATTTCAACTAATAATCTCTATTGATAATTATCAAAGTCAAAAGGGAATTGGTGAACATATTATCCATGTTGACTATCATATTCTAATTCTGTCGCCTGTATGCATACACTTAAGAGTAGCGAATACAAATATTCATTCAATACACAAAAGTAATGCTTTCGCACAAACTATTGAGGTATATTTTGTAGTGAGGAATAAATACTGTTTGTTACCTTCGCAAAATTAAATAGTACGAATAATAATAGTACGAATGAACCCTGAATATAAAGATAACTCCATGATTTATAACAATTCTTTTCATTTATTTTGTACAGTACATTAATTAATAACACAGGTCTGCAAGTAAAAAACTGCATAGGATTTTATATATTTTCTTACAGATTTCAACTTGGTAAAAACGAAAAAAATATCAAAAAAATTCCATCTCGTGAATTTTTTTGTTACACTCAAGTTTTTGTTTGTATTTAGCGTAAAATTCCTAGTTAACTTAAAATTTAGTATTGTATTTTTTTTATTTAAAAAATGGCCTTAAAACGAAGACTTCTCACATTAATTCTATGAATTATAGCTGGACTTTGTAATAAATAAATAAAAATGTTAGTGGTTGAAGAGAGTAGTGGTAGGGGGAGGTGGGTTAAGTAGTTTTAGTGTTAGAGGAAGGTCACATGATCATATAGAAACAGGTTAAAAATTGATAGTGAGTAATATTATTGGTGAGGTTGAGCATGTTTTGACATGTTATCTGGGATACTAGGAATAAATATAAATAATCTGCTGTTGGATTAGATCATGTTTCAACAAGCTAAATAAGTTCAGTATCTCACTGGCCATCTAATGCCACACTCAGTTTATATCCAGCATTCGAATGCTACTGTGCTTGTATTTTTTTCTTTAATATGGCTCGCACAGGTTGTGTAATTTCTCCCGACAGCTTCTGTTATGCTTGTGGTGAATACACAGTGAAAAGTCAACAAAGAAACATAAGTGAGTTTGTGAAGAAATATTTCAAATTGAAACTTGGAGATAAAGACAAAGCAGATTATTGGAAGCAATGGGAGAAAAGGAAAAAGAAGCATGAGACTCTTTCAAGAATGTAGTGCATAAGTTTTTGGGGAATACTAAGGACTCTGACTACAAAACCATTGTACAATGCATGCTGGCAGCAGCATATGAAGCTCAAGGATGCAAGATGAGCTTAAAAGTTCATTTCTTACATTCTCATATTGACTATTTTCCCAAAAACTTGGGAGCCTACATTGGAGAACAGGGTGAAAGATTTCACCAGGATGTCAATATGTTAGCTAACTACTGTGGATGTTCAATTGAGAAACCAGAGAAAGAAATTGGAAACGAGTTTGGAGAAGCATCAAAAAGAAGAAGAAAAGGTTTCATAAGAAAAAAGAGTAGACCAAAAATTGTGTATAAATATCAGAAACAATTTGTTGATTAGTTGTAAGAAAATATAATATATTTAGTTCATTGTAATAAATAAGAGTTTTTATCAAAAATTTGTTTCTATTTTGCAAAAAAAAAACCTTTACATGATGGAATGTAATGGAAGTTATTTTTAGAATCTGCGATCTTTAAAACATATAATTCAGCAAAAATATTCCATGCAGCTGAAAAAAATTTTTTTTGCAGACCTATGTTCTTCATGGAGGCTTCTAATAGTAGCTCCTATATATTCAAGGCTGCATTGTTGTTTACTATTCCATTCTATGGAATTAAACC